TGAGTAGGTGTGATGGTCACTTTCCCATAGGAACAGCAGTAATGAGTCTCACCATACAGTGAAGATTTGCTCCCCAAATCACCCACCCAATAACAAACATTAATGTGACTGGAAACTTCAACAGAAGGTAGAGAGACCTAGGACATTATCTAGTGTCACACCCATTAATTTCCTCATAGATAATGAAATTGAGACCAAAAAGGTTGTAATTTGCACAAAACATCTAGTTATCTCTACATCCATACTAGGGTTCTTTGCAACCATATAGTATATGGCATGCTCAATAGCATAAAACAGTTACCTTGTTATTAAAGGGTGAAGAGAGGGGCTGGGGATTTAGCTCAGTGGCACAGTGCCTGCCTGGCAAGTGCAGGGTTGTGAGTTCAATTCCCGGTACCAGAAAAAAAAAAAAAGGTGAAGACAAAGTAAGTTACTGTCCCCTAATGACTATGTATAGACTTTGATGGGATAGAAAGCAAGTTAAAGGAAGAATTTTTGGTTACACCTCATTAATAGGTTTTGGGAGAGAAATGTGAATAAAACAAAACTACTTTCACAATATTCATGATCTAGTAAGACAATAAACACAGGTACAATCATATTTAATTGTGATGAGGAGGAAAGTAGATGAATGAGAAAGAAGCTTCATAACGTTGTGAAAATGGTCAGTTCTTTCTTATGGATGAGAAAATGCTACACACAAAAAAACAAGGAAATTAATGGCTTCAATTTGAAAGATGAGAAATTTGCTATGTGGAGAAAGAGGAAGAAGGAAGGAGTATTTTACCCATGATGAAACCATGCTAAGTGGGTACAAACTCAAAATATAATAATTTTAGGAAATGGTGACTGTGTTAGTATATAAAGATCACAGAGAGTGCTAGTTAATTTTGTCAAAAATGGAAAAAATAGGGAAACATTAGAAAGTTACTCACTGTTTGTTATTTGTCAACTGTTTGAGTTTAAGTAGAATAGGGACTGAAAAACAATCATTAGATCCAGCCAGATGCACACAGCCCCCACAAACATACATTTTCGTCCGAAACTTTTGTCCATGATGTTACTGAGAACATTTTTCTATACTACAAATTTTTCTCATCTTAATTATTAAATTATAGGGGATTTTTTTATTTTGCTATTGTCCTTTTTTTTACTATTCTCTTTAAAATAGAAAAATACACAATGCTTTTTAGTAAAACACTCTAAATTAAAATCTCACCTGAAATACAAAGATAATCAGTGTTAGCATTTGAAATGCAGCCTTCTGTTTTTCGTATCCATGGATATAAGCATAGGGAGAGCACATGTGTGCAATTTTCAAAAGAGAAATCATATTCTATGCTTTATTGCCTTTTTAAACTTAAATATATGTTATCTGTTTTCTGGATCATCATTTCATATTTCTTTTGCTTACTACCTCTTTGCTTTCTTATGTTTTAACTCAAGGGTTTGTATATCTAAAACATTAATATATTTATTTATAGTGCTTGTTTTCTCTTCTGACATCCATTGTAGATTTTAACACTATCATTGTGCTTTTAGATCTGTGGATTCTTTTTATTCTATCAGTCAATTTCCTGTTCTCTAATCTATCTTTTCATTTTCTTATTCATCAGACCTTATATTTCATTGCAAACACAATGATATGTTTTATATTTTTGTTTTTCTGAGCATATCTTTGCAAAAGTATTTTTGTCTTAGCGTATTCCCTTATATAATGCTTCAGTTTTTAAATCCCCTCTTTGTTTGAATAGCTGGGAATAGTTATCAAAACATTTAGCAGTAGACAAAATGAAAATGTACCCTTTACTCTTTCTGATTCATAACAGAATAGTTCTTTACATCCAGACATTCTGGTGGCCATCTAGCATTTATCTAGAGATCTGCAATTCAAAACCCAGGGTTCTATTTTTATCAGAAGTGAGGTCGATATCCTCTCACCACATTTCTTCGTTTTGATTTTATAAACTTGATTTTGGAATTTTCTATTTATTCTTATTAAATTTCATCTTATTTCACCTGGTTTGTTGGGCATTTTGGTCTTGATCTTGCTGTCCAGTGTATTATTTATTCCTCTCTGTTTCCTGTTATCTACAAACCTGCTAGAAGTGATTTTAAAAAAACAAGTTGGAGCTCTTCCACATCTTTCTAGCCATGATTTAATGTCTATGTCCTTATAACTATGTGCTTTTGAGGATAACCACTTTATCTTATGTAAAATCTACTCCCAGCACCAGACATTTCTACCACTTAGTGGCATGCAGTGCACCGTGGAATGAGTGACTGTTAGCGTGGTCAGCGTCACTCTGAGTAGGGTCACAGGTGACAAGGATAGAAACTGATTTTGGTACAAAGATTTTGCATCACTTACTGCTGCGTATTAAGTAATTTTGTGGCTGGGAATAGCATAATATCATCTGAAAAAATGAAAGGAGCAAATGGAAATGTCATACATTTCTGAGAAAAGTGTAACATATAACAAATTCTTTAGAATACTGTTTTGCTGGGTCTAGTAAAGTTATATAATTTGTTCCCATAATAGTAGAAATTGCACTTCATACACAACTGATATCAACACACCTATTCACCAAAGGACTTGTACAAGAATGTTTTCACTAGTATTACTCATAATAGAGACACACTGAAAACAATTCAGTTTCAAAAGGCATAATACATTCAGACAGTTGCATAGTACCTATCAATGAAGAAAATGACAAATCATCCAGGTAGCAAATGAGATTAACCTCACAGACAAAGTATATTCAAACATTAAGATGCAAATGCACATGTGTTCTGTTTATATGGATTTCAAATACCATACTGGGGAGGTGGAGGTTCACCAAACCAAAGACTCTGGTGCTGGACATGTTCTTGATCTGCCTAGTCATATGTAAAGATGTGTGTGTGTGTGTGTATGTGTGTGTGTGTGTGTGTATGATGCATCATCAAACTACACACTGTTGACTTGTGTGTTTCATGACATGCAAAGTAAATTCTAAATACTTAAATGCACAATAAAGATATCCCCAGGAAATATGAAGAGGAATTTATAGTTAGGGGGAACTAGTAATGAAATTTGAAACCAGAATAAAGACACAATATGGCAATGATGAGAGATAATAAATGTGATATGTCTAGGCAAAGTCTGGTTGTTATTTTTTTTTTTTTGAGGAGGAGTAAAGAATTTGCAGATACACTTAGCTCCTGTAGTTTGGTGCTTCTTAATCTTTAGCATATATATAAATCAAATGGAGGTCTTGTAAAAAGTAGGCTCTAATTCTCCAGGTCTGGAATGAAGCCTAAAATTCTGTACTTTTTATAAGCTAGTGAGTAATCCTAATTGGAGAAGCAGTAAGGAATAATGGGGAGCAATGGGATTATCAACAAGGGAAAGTTCTTGATCCTAAGTTTTAAATGGCCTTTCTACTGACACATCACAAACCAGATTAGAAGGGAAGAAAATGACAGATTCAAGAGACAGTGATGCACCCTGAATTAATAAAGTGGACAGGAATGGGGGGATCGATAAAAATTTTGCAGAATCATCAAAACAAAACTAGGGTCTCATTAAACTTGAGGTTTCTAACTTTAATGATCAGGTAGATAAATGTGCTTCAGTCTTAATCATTATATCAGATCCTTTTGGTCCAAAATGAACTCAGAAAAGATGGATGGCATAAGACAGTTGTGTTTCCTGTCTGTATCATACTAGCAGACAATGAATCCAGGGGAAGTAGTATAGAGAGCAGCTTAAGAATAGTATCTAAGAGAAAAATACAGGATGAAGGGTTATACAAGTCCATTTTGCTACAGTAAAAAAATTAGCCCAAAGTCTCATTGGCTTTCAGCAGCAAAGGTTTGTTGTACCCCTGCCTAGCTCTGCTGGTGGCTTTTCTCTACAAGTTTTCATTCCAGGACCTAGGATGGAGGATCAGGATCTGTTAGGAGCAAGGCATCCAGGGGAAATGTGCAGTGGGTCTTAAGCTTCTGTTCAGAGGCAGCACACATCATGTCAGTGCCAGGGGCCCTTTTCTAAACTAAGTCACATGAACAGGCCTGGCATCAATGAGGTGTGAACACACCCTTGTTCCAGAAGGGCCACTACAGGTCATATGATTTCAGATTAGAAAAATATAATTGTCTCTCAGGAAGAGCAGAGACAAGCTGAAACACTAGTGCCATCTGTCAGAGAGATGTATCCAGGCAAAGAGCTCAAGCTCTTTATGCCTCTGACCCCTCCTAGCTCTGAAATTTTTATTTTTGAATTCAACAGTTAAATATCCTCAGCACAAAAATTTTTCATTAGTATGTGGCAAAATGGACAGATTTCAATTTCCTTTCCTAATGAGCATTTAAACGTTCAGAACTCAACAGGGGAGGGGATAGAGAGAACCCAGGGGGTGTAGAAGAGAAGATATTACTAGATAATCAGCCTTGAAGTAATCAAGAGTTGGCTGAATTCTCTCCTGATCTCTCCTGGATTCAGTAGTATCTTAAGAGAATGGATGAGCTGTACTGTGTTCTATCCCTGTGTGCTCACTTTACTTAAGTTTTTTGTGGACTGTTAATGAAAGACTAAAATTACCAGTAGTGTTTTAGTGTTTTCTTGGAGTCTTCAATATGGAAAATATCTATCTGTACCTTAACAAGAAATTAAATACAGTTAATCCAGATAGCTCAGAAATTATTTTTAAATTTTAAAGCTTCCAGGCTGTGTCCACTCAGGTCGAATACACTTATAAGCTAAATACTAACTACAAAAACCAATAAAGAGAACTTTTGCCAAATTATCTGGATATTTCTAATAAAGTAATTGATATATATCAAGTATTTTAAAATTATATTTTTGCCATCTGTTTCAGTTCAGAACTGATCTGTATCTCTTTGCGCATGATAAAGGGTTTGGAAGGTTTTTGAAGGTTTTGTTTCTTCAAACCAAGCATAAAGCTGTCATCATGTGCATCACATTTCTTATTTTTCTCAATCACTGTTCTTAACAGGACAAGAGAATGATTCAACAAAGAATGAAATAAAACTCGAGACAGAATCCCAGAGCTCATATATGGAAACAGAAGGTACTGAAACAAGAATATATTGTTATCAGAAAAATGAGATGAATCTGTGCACCATGACTGCTGTGTAGAAAATGTGAGTGTAAGTGGTATGTGTGTGTATGTGTGTGTGTGTGCACGTGCACGCAGGTGCATGTGTGTGTGTGTGTGTGTGTGTGTGTGTGTGTGTAGGCAATACTTCCTGGAGGATGGCAACAGTGTCCTGCTTTGAGAGTCGCCTGAAACTTTGGGGAATAAGAAAGAACTTTAACTTTCTATGCTGTAGTCACTGTTTTCTCAATGATTCTAGCTAAAACATCTCAGAGACTCCTTCTGTCTCATTCTATTTAGAGCTTTCATCCAACCAAGAAGATGCCACAATTGTGGAGCAACCAGAAGTGATTCCACTGACAGATGATCAAGAAGAAAAAGAAGGTGCAAACGGTAAAACTGCTCTTAAATTAACCCGTCAAGAATAGAGTGTCTCATTGGATTCCTGCCTGGAATCCAACCATCTAAGTTACCCTCTTGCAATTCCACTCTGTAAAGGGGGAAATGAACACTTCTTTAAGTCTGAAACTAGAATAAAATTTAGAAGTAGCAAAAGAGGAGTCTTGTAGCACTTTTTTTCCTTTTCCAAGTAGAATGAAGATATTTTAATTATTCATTTAGACAGCGTAAAGCTTTAAAACTAGAGGATTGAGAAATTCTACAAGAAACCAAAATTATGCAATAGAGGGATAAAATTCACAGAAAATCTGAAATAGCTTTAAAACAAATAGATTAACTTTGTGTATTGATTTCATTCTGCTTTCCATTGTATAATAATGATTAGAGAGGCAAATAATGTAAAATATGCTTATTATATGAACCTTCTAAATTGTAAGTTCATCTGCTAATATTAGCACACTATCACACTGAGTATTTTTTAAAAATAAGTGAGATATACTGATTTCTGAAGATATAGGAGGAACAAGCACCTTGTAAATATTAGTGTTGGGGCAATAAGCCAATATATTGAAATGAAAACAGACCTGCTTTATAAAAAGCCTTTTTGAAAATCCATCAAACAAATTTAGTATTTATTGAAGATCTTGAAGAATCCAATTTTCAGATATAAAGCAATTTCTTTTTAAAAGCTCATGAAATATTTTTGTTACATTATATCATATATCATACCGCTCTTAAATAATACATATTTCCAAATCAGTTACAAGGCAATAACTTGTTAGACTTTGTTTGTAGAACACTGTAATCAATTTTGCTTCCAAATTAAAAGGTAGACATGATCTCAATTGTAAAATCAGGTCAATAGCAACTACAGCTTCCAAATTATGAATGCTTCTTGGCAGCGGCATTAACACAGTTTAATTGCTAAACTATGTTAGTGATTTTGACACTTTGTTTTAATTTTATCTCATTTATAGCACAATATTCTTCCATGTCTATGTCTTTACTTTTTCTCTGTTGCAAATCCTAGTTCAGCCTCATGACACCATATTCCTAGCTAGCAAATGAATAGCTTATTTGAAGTATTTTATGTCTAACAATGATAACAGAGAATTGACACAACCCTTTTTCAGATTCATATATATGATATTGCCACATTCGATTTTACTCCTAAAATGAAAAATCTATAATGCATGCCCCTTTGCTTAATTTTTCTACTGTGGAAATTATTTGCTTTGTATGTTATGCCTGAAGAAATGTGATTGAGTTAAAGAACATCAAACAACTAGAACATTTCCCTTGTTCTAGCTTGACCTATGAAAGAAAGGCTCACATTCAGCATTCATATTCCTAGCGCGAACATTCCTCTAATTACTGAAGAATTAAATAGTACTTTTCCTCTCTTCCTTGTAGGTACACTAGTCCTCTTCCATGAATAGTAGGATGGCATGGGGGAAAGGTGCAAGGTCAAATTCTGCTACATGCTCGTAGCAACTTTGAAGTTGAACCTCTTTATTGAAACTTGCCTTTTCACTAGAAGAGGGGATACTGGTCAGCTTGAGTTAACATTTTTCCTTCTTGCCTCTATCACAGATGCTTAACTTGACTCTTCCTTGAATATTTTTGGTGTTTAAATTTGACTTTAAATGCATCACTTTTGTCACCTTATTCTTTTCAGCAAAGAGTTAAGAGTTATTCTGTTATATATAAGAAAAGTACTTGTCTTAGTTTATTTTCTGTTGCTAATAATACCACAGACTGGGAAAGTTACAAAGAAAAGAGGTTATTCCAGCACATGTTTCTTGTGGTTCAAGTCCCAGTGCCCACATCTTTCCAGTAGAGTCCTGGGGCTGCAAGGGCATCACATGGTAAGGAGCAGGAGTATGCAGGTATATGTCTGTGCTTGTCTGATCTCCCTCTGTCTTCTTATAAAACTAGCAGGATTCAGTTACAGAGATTCCACCCTAATGACCTTGTCTAATCCTAATCACTTCCCAAAGATCCCATCTCTAAAAACCTTGTGGAAGGGTTAATTTTCCTCCCATTTAATACCTCATAATGGGGATTTCATTTCAACATTTGAAGCCTTGGGGGACACTCAAACCGTATACCAATCATGCAATACCCAAAGCAAAGGAAAATCATGTAGATTAACCATGGCCTGCACAGCTCCTCTCTACCAAAATAATAAGCGGGTTGGCCTCGGGCAGGTTACTGAATATGTCTGCTTCAGGTTCCTCATCTGTAAGATAGTGGTGACAAAAGTAACTGTCACATACAGTCATGGGGAAAATTTAACCAGTAATATGTGTAAAGCACTAACAGTAATACCTGTCACACAGAAAGCACTGCTTTACTACTTAGTATTGATTGTAATGTGATGAGTGGATGACAAAGCCAAGAGAATCCATATGTTCATTCACCATCTTTTTGAACAATTTTGAATCCATAGAAAGCTCACCTATAATACATTAACCTTCATCAACAAGCAGCCCCTCCCATTTGATTGACAGAACCATGTCATACAGGCAGATTCATTATTGCTAGAACCTCCACAAATTATTACTTATTTTATTCTATAAAAATAGAAATTAATGGATGTTGGGGTGTGAGGCATTTTCTCACTTCTAAGTTCCTTTTTCTTTGTTAAGATCTCAACCTTCTGTTTGGGAAATAATGATAGCACCATCATTTTTATTTTTAAAGAAAGAAGTCACTGAAGTATGGGTAAATCCATAAAATAAAAATAGTAAATAAGTTCATAGTAGTAGAATTTACTTTGCTTTCTGTTCATTCATGTAGTTATTACAGAGTCTTGTTTGAAAATATTTAGAGGCTGTAGCTTCATGTTTTGTGTTATTCTCACAAAGTAGTTTTTCAATGAAAATTTTTACTAAGAATTGTCTATAAGCAAAAACAAATGAGTATTCTATTTGTAGAAATAGTCTTTGCAGCTCTAACAATATCAATTCTCTTTTATTATGAAAATATTCTTAAGTAGGCAGGAACTGATTGCTTTAAAAACTAACGGATCAGGAAAAAATGTATAACTTTTCTCTCTCATTTTGCTGCATTTTATAAGAGTAGAAAATATAGATAATCTTCAGGACACATCTTCTATGGCTCCCAGGTGTATGAGCACAGATGTTACAACATTAAGTTTTGAAGTTATCTCTACCAAAATATGGATTTCGAAAAGAAAGAAAAATATTCAGCAGAAGTTCATGCTGATAAAATTGCACAATAGCACAATGGACATATCCCTGGGAGACCTAAAATACAAAAATTTCACTGGGCACAAAGCGAGGCTTCACATATGGCAGGTTTTCTCATATAGCCACATTGCTTTCTCTTAAATGAGCCCAGTTTTATGCTTTCCCAGCAGGACCTGCAATAAGTATGAAATCCACTGGAATAACACCATTTAGGCTAATAACCAAACAAGAAAGAATTGTAGGAGATCTGTAGAAAGCGTCTCATGTTTTAGTATAAGCATTATATACGGTCGGTATTTAAACATTTTTCGTAAGATTTTTATTTCTACTTGAATTCAGAACATTTGACACAAAATCTTAACTATATCATTATGTAATGATTATATCCCAAAATTTCTATTGGTGTTTTGTTATGAATACATGCAGGATTTTTCTTCAACTATTACATAGGATGCATGCATTTAGTCCCAAATATTTTTCTTATTTGAATTAATAGGTATAACATGGAACAGTAATACTTTATTTATCTAAGGTCGACCAAAATGTTGATGGATATTTAAGGTCTAAAGTTGTCTTGGGAGAAGATGAAGAGATAAACATATGAGTAGAAAATTAAGTGCAAGCCAGTGACACGAATAAGTTGCTATATGCTTAGGCTCATGTGTTGGCAGTTGACCAACATGTTCATGAGGCAAAGTCTACAGAGAGGTGTGGCTTTTATCCCTGGCTAAGTGAGGGCTACCAATCTTTTAACTACTATTCTAAGATAGTAATGAGGGGTATAAGCTCAATAATGCAATTATAAAATCCTCCAGTTTCATAACTTTACTCAGACAGCCAGGTCTGTAAAATCATATTCTTGATGAAATGAGTGATAAGGTGGGAGCTACTGTGTATCAATACAGTGAATGCTAAAATCTTAGCATTTCTCTAGTTTTATTTATTATATTCCATTGCTAAAAATGCAGGAGCACCCTAGACCAGGCAAAAGAATAGCCAGATTAACTATATTTTATTTTAGGGCTTACCAGTAATTGGACAGCAATTATTCCCTGAAGATATTTTAATGTGTAAAAATGCCTTTGAGCTTACATTATGTTTATGTACAAAATCCATTCAGAACCAGACTGAATTTCCATCATCATCTTTTAGGCCACAGTGAAAATATCTTTTCTTGTAGCTCTTCTGACCACTGGCTTGTTTTTCAGGGAAGACATAGTAAGTGAGCCATTTCTCTTCTGCTCCATGATAGCTAACCAAATCCACTAGGGAGATACCTCATCTACAGAGTACCACCACATAGCCCTTGGTGTTTTCCATCATTGTTGGGATTCCTACATTGCTGACAGAGCCCTTTTGCCTCTCTTTGAGAAGCAGCCCTTGTTCCAGCAGTGTAGTCATAAATAACATCAATAACATTTGGGCTTTTATACTAGCCTGTGATCTTTGCTACAGAGAATCACACTGTTTGGGGATATTTTTGATTCATCAAAACATTATATAAACTTGAATCATCAGCTTTGCACAGGGCTGGGCTTGATTTCCATCACCATCTTGTATCTTGAGAAATGAATTACTTACCCAGGTTTTTCTATGTTCAGAAAGTCTTTGTATCTCATCTTTTCAAATGAAGTCAACAATTAATATTTTTTACATCAGAAGCACTATTATTTAGTTTCCTAGGGCAGTTTCATTTTCAAATGATTTCCCTCTGTTACTGCCCTTCTTTCTTAGTTACATTTTATTGTTGGAATTTGTCAACTAAAACTGTTGTTTTAA